CACCTCGGCTTTCTGGGCCTGGGGTAATGGAAGAGCCGCCCTGGGTCCCACCTCCTTCCAGGTGGATTGTTTGCTGAAGAAATGGCTTTATTTAAGCAAAGCCTTCACCTAGACAACCGGCACCTCCTGCAGACTAAGTACCTGCTCTGTTCGATGTGTAGACGTTGTTCTGAGTTGGCTCCAGGAGCCCAAGGGTTGCTCAGTAAGTGCTTGTTAGGAGATGGGTTATCTGCCAGCTGGATTCGTTCCCTCACTCACTCACTCTCTCACCAACACGCACACACTCATTGCACATGCAGGAGGCACCTTCTTTGTGCCAGATATGTGACACAGCCCTGCCCTCAGGGGCCCCGTTTGTGGGGAGATGAACTTGAAAAGAGATATACAAGTTTCTTGGGGCGTTTGTAACAAATTACCACAATGTGGCAGCTTAACACAGCATGCAGCCGTCCCACGGTTCTGCAGTCAGGGTCCTGACCCGTTTCACTGGGCCAAAGTCAAGGTGCTGCAGTGCCCTGCTCTGTGCGGAGGCTCTTGTGGAGGCCTTGCCTGTCTTCCAGAACTGCATTCCTTGGCTTGTGGCCCCTTTCTCCACCTCCATATCCTACAGGGTGACATATTCCAGTTTCTCTCTGCTCACGTCACCATCTCCTCTGCGGTAGAATCTCCCTCTGCCTCCCTCTTAGGAAGACATCTAGGGCTCACCTGGACCACACGGGACAATCTCCCCATCTCGAGACCCTTGGCTAGATTGCACCTGCAAAGTCCCTTACCCTAGAAGTTTCCAGGGATTAGGACCTGGGCATCTTTGGGGACCATTATACAGCCAACCACAGACAGCTTGCCTTGGCCAGTCATTTATATCTGAGCCTCGGTTTCCCCGTTTGTAAAATGTAGTAATCTGCCTTGCAGCTGCTGTCATAAGGAGTCCACAGAATTCATTTAAACTGCCTACCATGGTGCATGATGGCAGAAGTCACAGTCGAGTTTGTCCTGAGAGTGTAGCGTCTAGCTTGGTGGTTCGGTCATGCTCAGGCCGCAGAACCTGCCCAGACGTGGGAGCCTCTGTGTATCCCTCAGTTCCAGCTCAGGCAGCACATGAGAAGCATCTGGACGGTTTTCAACAACACTGATGTCTGGATCCCACCCCCGGTGTTTCAGTCCCTGCTCTGAGCGGGTCCAGACCTGGGGATCTTCAGAAGCTCCCAGGACCCTCACAGGCAGCCACAGTGGAGGCGTGGCCCCAGGCTGGGGCCACTGCGAATGGCCGCTGCTTCTCCTCTTACGCTGGGATCACCTGGCCGTCCTGTTGGCTGACTGAGGGCGTGGCCTTTTGTGTCGGGGCCTTTGTCACATGTGGAGGAAGGTGTTGGATTGGACGGTCTCCAGGCTTCTTCCCTGCTGGGAGGCGGCAGCGCTGTGCGGGAACAGGGCTCGCTGTGCCCTGCCGCGTGCCTGCCGTGGGGCCTCCCGCCTGCCCCGCTGTACGTGCAGGTGCTGGGCCGGCAAACTCCTTTCATGGACAAGAGGGAGCCAGGGCCTGGGGGAGGGACACGTGCTTTCCAGGGTCGTGTGTGTGGCTGAGCTGGCCTGGACCCAGGGCTGCCTCACTCTTAGTCTCGGACAGTGAGTGGCCGATGCATCTTTTTTGACCCCAGTATTTTCAAACTGGCTGAAAGGTGGAGCTGCTTGTGGTCACGGCTCTCCCAAACGCTGTGGTCCTGGTGGGTCATTGTAGAGAAAGCCTAACAGGTACCCCAAGGTGCTAGAGGAAGCACATGTCTGGCTTAGTAATTTTGCCCTTTGTTCTCAAATATTCCTAATTATCTCATGGGGTCGGGGGTGCAGATGCTCATTAGTCTCCAAACTGGGGCAAACTTTTCTTTCACTTGAATTAGGAAAGAATAGATGCTGGGTCGCTTGGTGCCCGCATGTGACTGGTGTCCAGAGAGAGGCTGGGATGTTCCAGAGCCTTCCTGGAGGCACTGGGGCTGGCCAGGGCTTTGAGGGGCAAGGAGGAGAGAAGACAGCACAGGCTGGCATGCTGGGGAAGGAGCAGGGACGACGGCAGACGGAGATCTTCAGGGGAGGCGGGCCAGTCCTGGCTCCCCGCACGTGGCCCTGGTCTTAGGGGCTGCCCTAACGAAGTGCCCCGGCTTGGGGCTCACACAACAGAAATGCGTCCCGCAGTTCTGGAGACCAGAAGTCTGAAATCAAGGTGCGTAAGGTTTCCCTCTGAAACCCACGGGGAAGACTCCCTCCTAGTCTCTGGGGGTGGCTGGCCAGCCATGGCGCTGCATGGTGTGTGCCATCCTCCGTCTTCACGTGGCCTTCCGCCTGCACACCTATTGGTCTCTGTGTCCAAACTTGCCCTTTGTATAAAGACACACAGCCCCTGGATTGGGTGAGGGCCCACCTCATGACCTCATCTTAACTCAGTTACATTTGCGAAGACCCTGTTTCCAAATCAGGTCCCACTCACAGGTCCTGCGGGTTGGACGTCAGCGTATCTTTCCAAGGGGTACAGGATTCAGCCCCCAGCAGGAGCCCAGCATGTATGCGACCCTTTGTCTCTGTCATTCTCCTGATAGATGCATCAGGGTGGAGGCACCGTCCCCCCACTGCAGAGAGGCCAGGTAACCTGCTCAAGGTCACACCGTCAGCAGCTTGCAGAGCTAGGTTTCAACTCTTGGCCAGTTGGGAATCTTTCTAGAACTGCCCGTGGTCACCATGCCATGCTACAGAGTGGCCAAGGAGAGGCCAGCCCCGGAATCTGCACAGGGTTGGGGAGAGGACAGCCTGCAGCCCCTCGACCATCCCAGGGCCGGTCGTGCTCTCGTTCCTCAGGTCTGCGAGCTCCCCAGCCGAGAGGCCGGGAACCTGGATGAAAGGCCCAGGCCAGGTTGCAGGGGACACCCCCGAGGAAGTGGTTTCCCTCAGCCCCGTGGGGAGGGGTTATTCAAACTTAGATGTGCGGGTGCTGCGGCCACTGTGGCCCTGGAAGGCAGCCCTGGCTCCATCCTGTGTCCCCAGATTAGGCACAGGCTCGTGGGCAAGACAGGTTGTCCAGGCAGACTGGAGTCTTCTCCCTTGGGGAGGGCGGTGGCCTGGGAAGGGCTGGCTGACTTGGGGAGGGGAACAGTCCCGGTGAAGGTTCGTAGAGGCTGGGCCGGGCTGGGGATGGAGGCAAGGGACGTGACCGAGGAACCAGCAGGACTTAGAGACATAGGAAGGGCCTTCTCAGAGGTGGCAGGGCTGTCTGCTTGCCTGGGTGAGCGGACACAGTGGGGACAGGTGTCATTCAGGCTGTAGTGGGTGTGAGCTGGGGAAGGGGAGGTCTGGAGATGGGGTGTGGCAGTGACCGGTGGTGGCTGTGCAGGGAGGTGAGAGGGAGCAGCTGGGCTGGAGTCACGAGGTCCTGGTGCTGCCCCTCGTCCCGCCCTGGGGTGCTTGGTGAGAGCACTGGGGGACCGCCGCGTCAGCAGCACAGTGGGCAGGAGACTGATGACAGTGTCTCAGCCCTGAGCTACCCCATCGGCTGGCCCTGTGGCCCGGAAGCCAAGATGCGGGCTCCGGACAATTCTGACTGCTGCAGGGGCAGAGCCCAGGGGCGGGGCAGGGGCCCAACCAGCTGTGGTACCCATCCCGGCTCTCACGGGCATTTGCAGCCTCGCAGCCACTGGGCGGTGCTGGCGCCTTGTCCCACGTCAGTCAGGGAGTGGCTCGGAGAGGCTCTGGGTTTCCTGGGCGGCACAGCTGGTGAGCTGTGGGCGGAACTCAGCCCTAGGCTGGTGCCCGAGCTGCCGCAGGGGGTGCGTGGGGCTCCCAAAGAGAAGGAGAGTCATCCAGGGACCTCAGCGTTCCCAGCGGGTGGCCTCCTGTCTTCCAGGTGACCGTACTTTGTGGCTTGTGACGCACTTTCGCACTCACATCTTCTCCTGTCTCCCCAGGACCTGGTGCCGCGGGGGCTCTTGTTCTCCTTTTATAGATGGCTCCTGAGCCCAGGGGTCCTGAGCAGGGCGGACTAGCGGGGGCGGGCTGCAGCCTCAGGAAGCCGCGGGGTTCTCTGTGTGGCGGGGGCAGGAGTCCCAGCTGCCCTGCAGCTCCCAGGCGGCCGGGCAGGCAGGTGGGAAGCCAGTGGTTCTGCATGCTCACAGGCACGCTCCGGAGCCCCCGCCGCACGCTGGCACCCGGTGCCCCGGGCCTCTGCTTCCTCCCCACTGTCCAGGGAGCCCACTAGCCATCCCTCTGCTTACGTGGGCCGGACCACCTGTGTGTCCTCTTAGCCTTGGGACGTGCTCTGGCCCTGCCAGCCTCCCCGGAAGCTGGGGGAGCACCTTCCGGGTCCAGAGTCAGTGTCATCTTGTGACTCTTGCTCCCGCCTCTGTGCGGCTTCACACGCGCTGTTAGTAGTTCACTGTAAACACTGAACACCTACTGCCTGTTAGGCGAGGGTAGCACTCGGCATAGCACAGCGAAGAAAACCGAATCCCTGTCCTCAGGGACACTAAACACACATGCACAGGAAGCTGCAGAGGGCGGAGGTGAGGGGCCGCAGAGGTCCTGTCTTTCCTGCTTAGCTGGTCTCGTGCAAGGGCAGGCTGGTGTCCACGCGACACTGTATCCCAGCGCCCAGCCGGGGCAGAGCAGCAGCCAGGCCCTGCTCCAGGCGTGCGTGCAGGTGGTGTGCGAGCCCCCGGCAAGACTGAGGCTCCCTCACGTCCGCACCCCGAGCTCTGTAAGCAGCTGGAATACTAACAGTAACTAATTTAAATGAAGGTGAAACATGGCTATGGTGAAAAATTAAAATGATACAGAAAGTTGCCCAGTGAAAAGTGATTCCCCGACCTCCGGTCCCCAGCTGCCCTTCCCCGGGTTCTTGGTGGCTTTTCCAGAGACAGTCTGCACATGCTGGTACAGGTGTGCGTGGTGTGCACGTCTGTCCGCACGTCTGTCCTGCTGCCTTCCTGCCGTCCCTGACATCCCTGCTCTGCCTGCAGGTCTCCGTGCTGGTCCTCTTTGCCCTGGCTTTCCTCACCTGTGTCGTCTTCCTGGTCGTCTACAAGGTGTACAAGTATGACCGCGCCTGCCCCGACGGGTTTGTCCTCAAGGTAAAGCTCCATCCCCCCGGAGGCCCCGGGACGCTTTGCACCTTTCTGTTCTCTCCCTGAACTCCAGGCTGCTCCTGCCGGCTCTCCCAGCTGGCCCAGAGACAGGCACTAGAGCAGCAGGGGCCTTGTGCTCTGTAGACGGTGACAGGAGTATCCTGGCTGAAGGCCCTGCCTGGAGAGCAGGGCGGGTAGGCAGAAGGCATGGTGGGACCAACTCGAAGGAAACTCTTAGACTTGACCCCTGGGACTGACCTCCGCAGCCTGGGGAGGGGCCCCCCTGGAAAGCAGGCCCAGCCAAGGGCTGCCCGTGGGAAATGCCCAGGTGACCTTTCCCTCCCAACACCTTGCTCAGGGGAGAGAGAGGGAAGGGACCATCTCGGCTACATGAAAGAGGGGAGGACACACTGGGGGAAGCTGCGGCTTAGCGAGGGGAAGCTCTTGCCCAGGCAACACTGGGATCTGGGAGCAGGGCTGGGAGCACAGCCAGCCCCCTTGCCAGCCCTGCCCTCTGCCTGCCTCTGGTGCCACGCGGGCGCGGGCCCTACACTCGTGCAAATGCTCGCTTTGCTTGTAGAACTCCTCAGCCTCCAAAGCCCGCATGGGGCACAGAAACACACACTCAGGACAACAGGATCACAGAAAGAGAAATAAAGGGAGGGAAGATGAGGTGGAGGGAGGGAGGGAGCGCGGAGAGAGAGGACGATGCCTGGAGGAAGCGTCGCTTAGCGCTGGGGACGCATTATGAGGCGTGCCTTGCGAGGGGATCGCTCCACTGTGCAGACATGGCGCAGCGCACAGACACCACCTCGACGGCGCAGCCGCGGCACACAAGGCCGCATGCACAGAGGCCACTCTGCCGAGCACTGGAGACAGTTGTCGCGCAGTGGTAAGTATTTGTGTGTCTAAACAACTCTAAACACGGAAAAGGACAGTGAAAACACCGTATTTAAGGCGAACAGTGGTGCACGCGTGTAGGGCACTCGCCGCAGGTGGAGCTTGCAGGGCTGGAAGTTGCCCCGGTGCGTCCGTGAGCGAGCGGTGCATGCCGCGCAGACCCGCGACGTCACTGTGCGCTCTGCAGGCCTTGCAAACGCTGCGCGCCGAGGCTGCACTCGACTTACGTGCAGTTTTTCTCTTCAGTAGGAATTAGCCCTAACCGGGACTTTTTTACTTCATCAACTTTTTAATTTTTTAAAACTTGTCACTTTGGTAATAACACTTAGCTTAAAGCACATATTGTATAGCTGCACAAAAATATTTTCTTTCTTTATGTCCTTATTCTATGAGTGTTTTCTATTTTTAAATTTTTTTATTTTTATTTTTTACTTTTTAAACTTTTTTTTAAAAACTAAGACACAAAAACACACATTAGCCTAGCCGTCGCGGGGTCGGGATGATCGCTGTCACTGTCTCCCACCGCCACTCCTCGCCCCACCGGAAGGCCTGCGGGGCAGGGGCAGGCCGACGGCGCCTCCCGGGTGCCTCCTGAAGCACCTGGCGGCTGTGCTGCAGATACTTTTACACAGATACAAGGCGTACGCTCTAAAATGACAATAAAGAGTATTGTATGGTAAATGCATAAACCAATGACATAGTCATGCATTGTCATCATCAGGTATTGTGTGCTGGAACTAACTGCGATACGCGCTAGACTTCTACATGCCTGGCAGAGCAGTAGGCCTGCTGCGCGGGCACCGCCACAGCCGCGAGTGATGCGCTGCATGACCATGTTGTGATGGCATCGGTGACAGGAATGTTTCAGCTCAGTTATGATGTAGCTCCATGTATAATGGGACCACCCCCTGTATATGTGGCCTGTCGCTGACCAGAGTGCCATTGCGCAGCCCTGACAGTGTGACGCCCTTGCTGTGGACGCCCATTTCCCTGCACTCAGCGCCTGGCTCTGAACTTTACAGAGCCAGTGTGAAACGAGTATTTCCAGGATCGGCACTAATTGAGAGCCAGCTGTTTCTGGTACTGAGCACATGTGCAAGCAAGCTTGGTTTGTCAGTGTCACTGGGTAGTTGTGTTTGGGCTTCGCTTTCGCCCACGTGGAGGCACAGAGCAGAAAAGGCTAGAATCCACCCTTCCCCGTGTCGTGCTGTCCTTCAGGGGTCTGGCGCTTCAGCCCTTCCTTCATTGGCCAACATCTACTTGGTGCCTCCCGAGTGCCAAGCTCCTGCTGCTGTCCTTGGTGCTGGAGCACAGCTGAGGGTGCTGAAGCACCAGCTACAGCCCCGGCCTCGTGAGGCTCCCTTACGTTCTCAGAGACACGAAGCCAATCGTCTGTGCAGTGAGGTGGCTATAAAGAGAAGAGGAGGCCGAGGGGAGTGGGCATGTAGCGTAGGAACTGTCATTTGCAGAAAGGTGGTCGGTGTTGGAGCAAAGTCTCATGGGGGCTGAGTGAGGGAGTCTGCAGGTCTCTGGGAAGGGCATCCGGTGGAGAGCGGCCCCTTCCCTGGTGTTCCGTTCAGCAAGCCCCTGTCCCTGTATTGGGCTGGGGCTGGGAGAGCTTAATTCTCTCTAGAGGCTGTGATGACACCTCTAAGGCAGTGAAGTGGAGGGTGAGGGCTTGAGGGGCGTGAGGGCTGGCCCGACCCAGCGGGAGCTCGGAAGCAGAGAGTGCAGATGGGGCAGGTAGAGACGGGCTATGGGGCCAGGGAGGCCGTGCACGACGGGCCAGCTTATGGCCAGCCCGTGGCATCCTGAGTGCCGCGAAGGCTCTGCGGGAGGAGAAGTGACGCCATCCCTTGGGCGACCAGGGGAGGCTGGAGGTTGGAAGGGGGAGATGGGGCGGTGAGATGACCGGGAAGAGAAGGTTGGAGTTCTGGGATGGGGGAGACCGATGTGGCAGCACACTGGAAGGTTGATTGAATCTGGGAGGCAGGGGCGGGGCAAAGGGGAAGGACCTGGCCCAGAGTGGGTGACTCAAGAGAGGCTGATGTCACGGAGAGGGAGCAAAGGCACACGCAGGAGCAGTAAGCACCCTGTGTGGGAACAGGGATGTGCAGAGGACAACTGCCTGGGGGCCGGCAGTCCCCACCCGAACTGACTGCTCACAAGTAACTAAGGCCAGCAGGCTTCCTGGCTCTGCCTCTCTGGGCCTGGGGCAAGTTCCCTGCGTGCAGGAGGGGGCAGCTGAGTCCTGCTACATGGCCTGGTCCAGGTGGGTGACGGCCCAGGAGGTGACGCTGGCCCTCAGCTGCAGATCAGGTGGTGGCAGCGTTGGAAAGGGCCAGTATCTGCTGTTTAAAAGGCCCTGCGGGTGGTTCCGGTGCACAGCCAGCCTTGGGGAGTCCCTGACAGGCCGTCCTGGAGCCGCATCTCATGGGGCTTTGGCATTTTCCACTAGTATGTAATGGGGGGAGGGTCCTTTCTGAGAACGCAGCTGGGCGGGCCAGGGAGCTGCTGGTCTGTGCCCAGCTGCCCTGGGCTGACGCTGGAGAAGGGGGAGGTGTGAGCTCATCCTACATCCCTTCTCTGCCTCTTCCCTGCGTCCCTGCGTGTGCGCATCACACACTGGCGCTGGGCAGCTTCCAAGGGGCTTTTACGCCAAGATCTCCTGGCATGTGCCCAGAAACCCCAGGAAGGGGATGCCGTTACTCCTGTTTCCTAGTGGGGAGGTGGAGCCCAGCGAGGCTCTATGCAGCGCCCAAGGCCACGCCCTTCGGTTCGTGGGTGCATCCAGCACAGTGTTTGCAGAGCGCCTCCTTACTGCGCCTGCCTGCGTGCTGGGCCCCACGCAGCGAGGGCAGGCGGCCCAGGGGCAGGCTCCAGCCTGGGGCTCGGGGAAGGGTCGCTGCTGGGCAGCTGCTCCTGCCGGCCAACCCTGAGGGGCCCCAAGCTGAGGGGTCCCATGAAGGGATTTACAAAGGCAGACTTGGGCTGGGGAGGACACACTAAGTTTCTACCTCTGCTTTTTTTTTTAAAAAAACCATGAAGTTATTATGTATTATAGAAGAGTTTTAAACATAATGGGGGAACTGCCCCACACCACACAACATTTTTATATTCGCCGTTCTTTTCCACGGTGGCACTCAGGTGTGAGTAGCACTTACCAGCGCCGCCCGTGTGCCAGGGCTGCTGGGAGTGCGCTTAATACCTGGTCCCCCCAGCGCCCCCCACGGCAGGGCCCTTGTTGGTTTCATTGCACAGGGAGGGAACGAGGCCCCAGGAAGTCTGGGAACCTCCCCAAGCTCAACATCCAGGCACAGCTGGGTCCCTGCTCCCCAAGGCATGCCCGCAGGTGACACGTGGCTCTGTGTTAGGGTCCCCCTGAGGAAGGGCTGAGTTGGGCTGGATGGGAGCTGGTCAGGGAGCCTTCCCCATCCCCATGTTCCTTCACTTGGCAGAGCCTGTGCATTCTGTGTCACTTGGCTCCACGCTCCCTCCAGGGAGCCCTCCATAAGCCCTGCGGTGCCTGCCACCACCGCCTCGCAGGGCACCTCCCCAGCACTGTCTCCTCACAGTCACGCTGTGTGCGTGGCGTCTGGTAGCACACCTGTCCTTCTCCCTGGGCTGGGCACCGTGTTTCTGAGCCATCTCCGGATGCCAGCCCCGAGCAGGGCCGCTGCTCCGCAGGTGTTGGCCGCATCTGGTCTCGCAGGGCCCTGTGCTGGGCCCTAGGGAGGGACGGTAGCTCATGGCCCTGCCATGGCCCCGAGGGGCAGCGAGCAGCAGGCGGAGCGGTGGTGTGAAGGGGAGGGCAGTGGCACTGGCCGGAGCTCGGCTGGCCGGGGATGTCGTGCCGCGAGCCTGGGTGGCCGTTTGCTCTGCAGAGTGTCGGGGCCTCCCAGCGTCCAGGTGGGCTGAGATCACGATGCTGGTCTTTTCTGTCCACTGTGCAACATCCTGGCCCCTTGCCTGAGCTACCTACCGCGCCTTTAGTCTTCACAGCAACCCAGCGGTGCGACTCATTTGCCCGTTTTATAGATGAGGGAAATGAGGTTCAGAAAGGACCCCTCAAGCAAACTCAGCCGCAGTGCAGGCCTGACTCTGAAGCTAAGCTGCTTCTGCCAGCGTCAGCGCCTGAATGCTGCACGAGGCCTTGTCAGTGATGAGCACGTTCCATTCCTTTCTCATTTCTCTTCTGAAAATAGCCCTGTGCTCGCAGGGGGCTTGCAGGTACTTCTGCTTTCTCCACTTCAGGGTTCAGTGAGCTGGCAAGAAGGAGAACTGATTCTCCACTGGCAGGTTGGCCTCAGGGGCTGATCCCTTTGCAGCGTCACTAAGCTGGTGGCGTGGAACCGCTAACCTTGGAGGAGAGGCGGCAGCTGCGACAGCTCACATGGGGACAACACCCAGGGCACTGCCTGAGCCCTGGGGAACGGGCCGTGTGGATGTGCTGCCGGGTCCGCTTGTTGACAGACCTCTGCAAGGTCCTGGGTGCTCCCTGACACCCCAACCCACTTCCCATCTCCACCACTCACCGTCTTTCCAGACCCCAGGAGTGACAGCCTGGCAGCTCCGTGTGCTGGGTGCTGGACCACGAGCCATCACACCGGTCTGCCAACAGTGGACAGGTCCCAGCCTCTCTCTGCAGAGGACGACACAGGCCTGCACTTCCTGGTGCTGGCTCGGCGCAAGCTTGGGTTTTCTGAGTGGAGGCCACAGACAAGGCAGGGGACAGCAGGACTGATTTCAGTAGTGCCGGGTGGCCTGGGCGTGTCATGCTGCTCTGGGTAGCCCTGGCACCTCGCACGGAACCGGGACATGCTTGAGTCTAAAGCTGACAGGCAGCCCACCTGCTAACCTCACCCTGATGTTCCTTTTCCTAGACACGCACACAGGCACCCGTGTAAGAACTGTCCAGGTGGAGAGAGAGCTCACTCAGAGAAAGAACAGACACCCCAGTTACACTGAGGCCTCTAAATCTGCTCAAACGGAAGCTTTTCTATGACTGAGATCCCCTTCTCTCTCTCAACAAATGGCCTGCTTGGCCCCGTGTCCTTCACTGCTGACACCACATAGCAGCCAGCAACCTTGAATGAACCTGCACATCAGAGCAGTCTCTGGGTCCCAACAGTGCCCAGGGAGCCCTGGGCTGGGTAAGAGGACACCGCGCTGATGGTGGCCTCAGCCCTGGCCCCAGCTGCAGCTCTGACTCATACTGGGCAGGTCTAAGCCCCTGGCGCTCAGGCTCCCTCTGTAAAGTGAGTCTTCGCGGTACTGAAGGGTGAAACCTGAGAAACCCCCAGTCAGTGACGGCAGTCAGGACGAGCTGGGATCTGTTCCTGAGGTCCGTGTGCACCAGAGCAGGGTCTCGCTGTGAATGCTGGCTGGATTGGAGACTGCCAGTGGTCGATTCTGGAGAAAGAACGATCCTGACCCATCGCCCCATCAGCAGAGCTCACTGCAAGGCCTGCCTTTGCTCACTCTTGTCTCTGGGCTGGGCGGAGGCCTTGCATCGGGACCTCGGAAGGGCCTGTGTGTGAGGAGGCGGAGGACTGACTGGAGGCCCGGGCGGGAGCTGTGCTTCTCACGCTCGCCTTCGAGACCCTGGACAGCAACTTCCCCTCTCTGCGTCTCACCTCCCCACCTGTGAAATGGGATTAATGGAACTCACCTCACGGTGAGAAAATGTAGCTGAAAAGCATTTCACAAACTGTTGGGTACAGTGAGAATGTTGGGGGGTGGGGAGCATGGATGCGGGAAAGAAGCTGTCTTCTTCACTGCCAGGAAAGGGGAGACAGGCCTGGGACCCACAGGACAAACCAGGAGCAGGCCTTCGGCCAGGGTGCCTGGCTAACCTGCCTTGAGCTTTCAGAGATTGAGAAGAACCTGAGCTCAGGCCAGGAGGAGGAGGAGGAGCGATTCCCTGGTATGCCCCGGGCCAGGCGCCAGTGTCTCCCAGCAGCCCACCTCCACCACGGCCGTCCCAGGGGTGGCCTGAGGTGCCCCAAGACGTTGAGTCATCAAAGAAAGCTTCTGTCACTTTCCCCACGCCGTACTTGCCCAGGATGGGGAAGGTAGCCGAACACTTTCAGCAGCAGGGGTGGAAGCCGCAAGGGTTTTCTCGTTAAGGACCAGGAGTTGGTCAGCGCACTGTGGACTGCGCCACTTACCGGCAGGGGGCCTTGGGTGAAACGCTGGATTTGGGCGCTGAGCCTCACACTTACCGGGGAGATATTTCACAGTATGGATCACTACAGCACGGATCTGCTCAGACTTTTCGTGGGGAGGGCCTGAGCACCTGGAGTTTTAAAGCTTCCCAGGTACTGTGATGGTGGCTAAGGCCAGAGACCCTGGACCCAACTGCAGTCTCACTTTCCTATCTGATAAAGAGACCCTTGGCCTGAGTGAAATGCTTTGGTCAGTTGGCTTGGACAGGATGGCAGGTTTCTTAACCTGCCACCTGTCACACTCACGTCCAGGCTGGAAGGCAGTGCAGGCTCCCTGAAGTCATGCTGGAGTCCCGATTCCCTGTCTCTTGCTCCCCGGCCAGCCCCCAGCGTTTTGTCCTCTGCTGGTGAAAGCTGGCCAAGAAGGGAGAATGGGAAAAGTAGAGGGCAGGCAGCTTCCCTTTAAGGGCCCAGTCCGGAACTTGCTCCTGTTATATCCACCCGAATCCCACTGGCCAGAAGTTAGCAGCGGCCTCACCTGCCACAGGGCAGGCTGGGAAGTGTGGTCTTCAGCTGGGCGCACATGCCCTGCTCAGCGCCGGGGGGAGACGGCAGTGGAAGACCATTAGCAGTTTCGGCACGCCCTCCTGCGGGGCCGATGTACTGGCCCTCCACGCTGTGAGCCCCGACTGCTGTACCTGTCAGCGCTCCGCCAGCACCAGCCATGACTGCGGGGGACAAGCAGCCAGGCCTAGTGCAGGATCTCAGCCTTTTTTGGGTCCTAGATTCCTGACAAGCTGAAGACTGCCATGGACTGGTCGCCCTCCAAAAAGGCCATCCAGCAGAATTTCACACGCAATCTTAGGGGTCCGTGGCCTCCCCAGGTTTTGTGGCTCCCAGCATAGCCCCCAACCCACCCCTATGGAGACTCCGCAGCAGCCACCTGGTGCTCTGTGGGTCACACCTCCTCCCAGCACCTCGGGGCTGTGTTGAGGCCTGGTCCCTCTGACGCCTGTGTCTTCCAGCCCTGGCATCTGGCTGCAGGTCCTGCATTCAGTCCTGCAGTCGTTTTGTCGTCCTGCCCCAAGACTCCTCCGCTCATCGTCCCTTTGCCCTGAGTGCTGCCCTGTCTCTCACCGTAGGCCGCTGGGAACCTGGCTCGAGAGACTTTCTCACCTCCCTTCCGTCCTCATTTGAATTGGTTGTTTCTGGACATGTCAGAAGTGTCACTGTTTTCTAGTAGATTAAAAATAAATGACTAGTGCAGGATCTTTAGTGAAGGCCTGTCCTGTTACACACACCCGCTTCGAGCCCGAGTACCAGCTTGCCATGGCGTTTGTTAGAGTCTATCCGTGAATGCTTAATCAAGGCCAGGCTTCCCCTGGGCTGTGTGCTCCGAGGGCAGAGGCCATGCTTGCTTTTGCACACCACGGTATTTACCGCTCCAAGCTCAGGGAGGGTGCTCAGTAAATATCTGTCGGCTGTTAACTGGAGACAGACTGGCGTCCCGCCTGCATCGATGCGTGGTCTCAATGGCTTCTTGTCTTTCAGAATACCCAGTGCATTCCAGAAGGCTTGGAGAGCTACTATGCAGAGCAAGACTCCAGTGCCAGGGAGAAATTCTACACGGTCATAAACCACTACAACCTGGCAAAGCAGAGCATCACGCGCTCCGTGTCGCCCTGGATGTCGGTTCTGTCGGAAGAGAAGCTGTCCGAGCAGGAGACTGAAGCAGCTGAGAAATCAGCTTAGCGGGATGGGCAAGTTCCATACAATGTGTCACTTGAAGATAACAAAGGGACTTTGAGGGACATTTCATTAAATATAATTACCGGTAATTTAGAGGTTACTCATTTATGGTGCAGTTGCTTCTGTTTGCTAATGCTGCTTTGCAAATAAAACTTGCTGCCGACCACCCATGGGCATAAAATCAAGTGCATATCAGCATTGCCTAAAGAGCTCTGACTCCACTTTTCATGTTAAGATCTTAATTTAGCTCCTTTACTGGGATTTATTGGACGCTGTCAAAAAATAAAATTACGCTGGATATGCCAAGGGTTTGGACTTCCGATAAATAATGCATTTTCTGGAATTGATTTTTTTTAAGCCACCTTGCTGTCTGGAAACCTCACTCCATAGCTATATCTAGAGTGATCTCTTGGTTTGCTAAGAGCAAGATGCACTTGACATTTCTTCCTGTCTGCCATTGGCTGGAGCAGTGCCGACGGTGAAGGCACACTGCAGTGAATGGTGCCAATTGCTGAGTGGGAAACCCCTGCAAAAAGGCATGCTTGATGTGTTACTGCTGCCCCCAGACGTCTCTCTGTCCCCTTTGGCTCTGGCGTGTTGATGAGGGGGGCACTGCTGGGTGGAGACGGCCGTGGGTCACTCCAGCGTGTAGACTGTGGTGGAGCACGAGAGGGAGGGGCCTTGGCAAGAGATGACCCTGGGCCACGAGGCTGCAGAACTCCCTGCTTTCCCTGTAGGCGGCTGTCTGCTCTGCGATGTGCCGGATAGGAAAGAAGCCCCACTGGCCCTTTCGTTCACTTCTGTTATGAATAAATTTGCACCAACAGCCTTGTTAGCAAGTTAGTTTTTAAAAAATTAGCTGTGAGGGAAAAGTGAAAATGTAATTGCTAGTAAGCCAGGGCTACTTTAATTTTTATTTTGTGGAGCAAATCTAACTCCCTTGATGTGAAAAGCAGGCAGAAAGGGTGGGCAGAGGGCTGGTGTGGCACCGTGCAAATGCAATGACATTTCAGTTCACAACCTCTGTATGAAAATTATGTTTCCATTTGAATCTTGACATTAAAGTATATGTTTACAAAATTGCCAGTTAGATAAACCTAAGTGTGTAAGACAATTAAATACAAAAAAGACATTCACAGGCGTTTCTTCCGTGTTATTTGAATGTGTTGTTTCTGGTGGACGTGTCAGAAGTTTCACTGGCTTTTCGTAGCTCAGAAATAAATGACAAGTAGTGCAGATTTGTTGTGAACAAGCCTGTGATCATGGTCAGCTCCTCAACTGTTGTCTGAAATGTGCTCCCAACACATACAATAGTTTATTACAAAGGTGTTTTGAAACGAAGACCATGACCTCAGCACAGGGAACGTGCGTTGCAGAGGCAGGTGCCACGAAGGATGTGGCTAAGCTGTGGGAGGTGCCTAAGGACAATAAACAAGTGCCAGGCCTTCCCGCCTGTCTCATGTAAACAGCGAAGCCCGTGTGAGCACAGTTCCGAGGCAGAGCCCATTGGTATTTTCTGGTAGACATGTACTTTACTGACTGTAAATTCATTCACATGTAACTTCTGACATTTCACTCTGTGCAAATAAAGAACACGAGGATACCTGTGCTGCCCAGTGGACTTTCTGTACATGCACAAATTTGCCAGGAGCAGTGCGAGTGACCTCATGTCCGCGTGGGCACCAGGATGCTTTCTGCACAGATGCGTCTAGATGTCTCAAGCTTTCAATCGCAAGTAGGTGTTCTTATTTACACTTCATAGGGGACAGGTGTGTGATCATGAGAGCATGAGTGTGGTCCACTTCTTTCTTTGAACAAAACCTCCTTGGACCCAGTGGCAGGGAACCAGGCCTCCCACACCTCTACCCACCTTGTGGGCTGCACTCTTTGGGGAGGGCCAGAGTTTGCCCGCACTTCCTCCCTGACATGAGGTGGGTGGGCGCAACTTAGACTCACTGACAATAGATGAAGTGGCTGTAATTGTATTTATTAGATTAACAAAGCAAATGTGAATTTTCTGCGATACAATGAGTGCGTGTATTGATGACTCAGGCAGACAAGAAGCCACAAGGAAACAAAGAAGTAATTTGTGGAGAAACATTATTAACCATGTTCTTCCCTAAAGCTACGGAGACAGGAAAGGCCAGCGACTTCCTTTGAGCCCTGAGACACTCTGGGGATCTTGAGGCCTGCTGTGCCCTCCACTGAAGCAAGCCCCCGCCGAGGCAGCCTCAAGTTTGGGTGCAGTTAACAGCCAGCTCTCCCCATCCAGTCCATCTCGCCTCATGGTGGCCACACAGACCACTTTCCTCTTACGTGCACTGCTTTCTCTTTCAGCTGCTAAATGGGCTTAACACCACTGGTTTGGGCGTCCCTTTTGTGGGAGTACGTTTGTCTGTCTCAACCTCCTCTTCCTCAAATGGCTCCATGATAAAATCTGGTCACCACCGCGCTCCAACGCCGGAGCCACAGGAGAGCGCAGTTTGTCAGCACGTCCCGCGCTAGCTGTCATACCAGTCGAGGAAGAGCAAGGAGAAGGAGCACATCACGAGGAAGAAGAGGACCCACACGCGGAAGCCGGCGTTGTTTTTGATGGCCTGGGCAGGGGCAGGAGCACAGGTGTTCTCATCGACAGGATTTTGGTTTTAAAAGCCCCAAAACGCTCCACTCTTACCACGTCCTCTCCCGATCTAGGCTGTAGCTGTGTGTGTTGCTCAATCCTACACTTACCTTGAGTAGATGACTCAATTATTAAGCAAAACCAAATGGTGGGTTTAAAATCCATCAGAGTTTAGCCACAATGTGGAGGTCCCACACAATTCTCCCAGGAAACACGACACTCCAGAAATCACTCACTTCTGTTGTCCCAGGCTTAGCGGCTCAGAGCAGAGTATGGCCCTGGGCTTTGCATTTTCTAGTAATGCAATGTCAGTGGTGACCCGACCCTGAGGACTGAGCTCTGGAAACAGAGTCCACTCAACAGAGGTGGCCTGTGGTATCTGCCATAAACAGCGGACAGTCTCTGGCCCCTTACGGGGGCCAAAAAGCTTGTCCAGTGGCGCCCAACCCTGGATTTAGGGAGCTGGCCTGACCCTTGCCAAGAGTACTCCCACCGGCACCAGATTGCTCCCTGGAGCATGGTGAGCCTTTGCCTCTCAAAAATAGCTGGAGGTGGGCCAGTGGGTCTCAAGAACACATGCGGCCTGGCTGGGACTGCCCGTGACCTCAGTTGTGTGATGGGCCCTGCGAGCTCTGCTAGCGAGACCAGCGCTACTGCTAAGACCCAGGACACCCAGTGAGCACCCACCTCTCTTATGTCTTCATTGCCCTCCTTGATGTTCTCAGTTGCTCCTACAACTAACTGGTGAATGCTGTCAATCTCAGCTTCCTGTTGAAGAAAAGAGTGTCAGCTAAATGCAGGTTGACAAGCCCTTATCTGAAAATCTGAAATCCAAAATGCTCCAGTGAGCATTTCCTTTGAGTGCCATATTGGAACTCAAAACGTTCAGATTTTAGAGCATTTAGGATCTCGGGTTTCCAGATTAGGGACACTCAACCTGTGCAGCCACCTCCCCCCCCGCATATGCATCAGGATACAAACAGCACCTGCCCCTTCCTAAGAGCCAGGGCTTGCCTGCACAGCACCCCTAGAAGTAGGTTTCACCCTTTTTATAAAAGGGAAACTTACGGCTCGTGTACCAACTTGCCCAAAGTCACGCAGCAACTCAGTGGCAGGACTGGGATGAGCCCCCCACCTTGCTGGATCCCAGTGCCTGTACTCCTTCCGCCCCACCTGCCATCCCTCCTGTGTCACTGGCCTCATGGCAAGGACAAAAACCTAAAAGTTGCTGTTTGTGGGGCAGCCACCACATGCCAGGGGCTTTCCCTGTAGTCTCTCATTGATTCTTTCTGAAGTCCACAGAAGCAAGCTTCAAAACCTGTGTGCTTCCAAGCACACATGCTAGCTTCGAAAACAGTGCTTTGTGTTTTACCATTACTCTCTAAAAAATAGGCTAAAATTAAAAAATCAAAATACGATTCTCTGCTTGCAGAAAATACACGCACCTGTATTACTCCACACCCTTGGAAAGCTTAAGAGTAAGGGCCTAACACATGGGACGCTGGCTGACGAGCCCTCACTACCCTGCGGGAGTGCAGCCTACGCGTGACGGCTGCAGAAGCAGGAACGCCTGTTTCTCTCTCCCTTTGGCAGCGGCGAAAGGAAGCTATGCTGTATACACTGCATGTGCGCTGTGGCTTCCGGACAGGTCAGGGAGAGGAATGTACACTAGCGTGGGTTTTTAGAGAAACCTGACTGATACAACACTGCAGGGAAAAAAGCCACCTTTGGCCACCTGGTTCCCAGAGATCAATATTACTGGGATGGCTTTGCTCTGTAATCACACCTTTTTAAAGACTCTCAAAGTGGGGGCTGAGTGACCACTGCCAATGTTCCTATGAGAGAATTGACATGAACCACTATGCAAAACTGGTGGAAAACACAAGACAGATACCCGTTCTTTAGGTCTTAGAAACTCCGGAGAAGCCAAGGCAAGGCTCTGTGCTTTGCACATCCCTTCCCAGGACGAGCGATGGGGTGGTCTGAGGCAGGGCAGTGACCCTAGCAGCTCTTTCCTACCCACCGGGCCCGGTCTGTCCCAGTACTCTGGAGCAGCTACTTAAAAACCACAACCACCGAGCTAATAGCAGCCGGTCCTCCTCAGTAGCTGGGCTGACTCTATGAACCTTAGAAATGGTACAATTCTGACTTCTAGTGCATTTCAGTGCACGTAAGATACACCGTGGCAACGTTCCCTTTGCCCGTGGCCACTGGTTGCACTAAGACAGGATACTGCTTGTATTTGTCATGGCCACACCTAAAATAACAGCAGTCTGCACATGGTTAGGAGCCAGGCGTGTGTCAGGCAACTTCCTACTCACTGGTTCCGACCACCAGGCGGGTGACTTGAGCCCTGTTTTACAGACAGGAACGGGGTTCAGGAGCAGCAGTCCGGGTCTAACTCCACCTGGACCCTGAGCGTTTGCTACCTCCGGACCCAAGTTTGTGTGCTGAGAGGAGACGTCTGGTTTGACTGATTGATGTGTGATGAGGCTGAACTGACGACCGTCAGACTGAAGAGTCTGCACCAAGCCGACCACCCGGCTCCTCAGTTAAGGCTCAGCATGCATTTGTGCGAGTGATTCCTTTAAGGCGCTATTTAAAAGGGCAACTCTTAATGAGCCTGAATTTCCAAATTGTTGTTAGACTTAATGTGCCTCATTTACAATGATTTTACTCTGGCTGTGTGGTAGGAGAGCTGCTTTGTGAGTGAAGTATCTTAAGCCAAGAAGCCAACTTAAACATGCTGATGAAAAATGATTTTGTCTTTCAAACCCTCCCACAGTCTTTGGGTGCTGAAAACAAAAGCGTAAATTTCTCAGGTCTTTAAAATTTTTGCCAGTTATTGGCTGGAAGAATTTCAGAACTGTGGGCAGGCAGAAATAACATGAAAATTCACTAAAGAGAACAAGCCTATTTCCCATGAAGACACCAGACACGAGGTGGCATGGACCCGGCACTTTGAGAGGGCCAAAGCTGAGCTCTTGTGACACGACTGACTGAAAAGCTGCTGCCCATCAAACATAGTGCTGGGCTCTGTGGCTCGTCTCGGAGCTGTACGATAATCCTGCAAGAGTCGCTCCACTTCGTGGATGGGAAGCTGCAGCTCAGAGGGCTGCCCAGCTTCCCCGAGAGCCTCGTGGTCACCCGGACTACCAGGCCGGCACTGTCCTCCCAGGTGCCACTGCGTGCTCTACCACACAGGGCAGCCACCTCCCCGCTCCACCACACACATGCAAAGGCTGCTCTGGGATGACGGGAGGCTTTCCCCCAGGAGCCCTGCAAACGCGCACCTGCCACCAACACAGGTGCTGCTCACAGTTAGAGGTCGTCAGATGCCGTCAGAAGAAATGTCCTGAGCTCTTAGTGCATTCCCCCTTTAAGTGAAAACTCAAAACTACTTTTTTTTACCTGTTGCAAAACCTTTTCCGTGAATATCTCTTGGAGTCTGGAAATTTCAACCACTTTCCCTTCAATTTGCCTTCATAAAAAGAAGAATCAGTAGATGACACGGTCACTGTTAGTTCTTGGTAATCTAACTGGAACATTACACATTTCTACAGAGATCATCTCTTCCAAGTGAAGGCGGGAGAGGAGCAGGGGCCACACCATGACAGGTGGGGGAAGAGGAGGTGGGCAGAGGAAGGTGATCTGCTTACTAGTTTGGTTTTTCTGCCTCCCAGCTTGGTCCAGTGCACTGGGCTTTTTGGAAATATGCTGTACTGTGTAAGCTGACCCTCTGTCGCCAGAGGCTGGCGTGCACAGCGCCCCTTGCGTTCCGAGTCACTGCGTGGGGTCAGGGAGCGCCCGGCCACGCCCCAGGTGCAAAGCACAAAGTCCCCAGTGAGTCCTGTGCCCAGCCTAGTAACCTCAGTGATGTGGTGGGATTCAAAAGACAGCATCAGAATGTCTGATGACCGGACTCTGTTACTGCCCAACAGGTTAAAGAAAAAGTATATTTATCACTTCAGCCAACTCCCTGTCATAAGGAAAAAAATTCTCTGATTCAGATTGAAAATAACACATTTGGGTTTGGTAGCTGAGTATCTGTCCAACTTGAAACACTTGAGCGAGCCATCTTCCCTGTGTCAGGGCCAGCATGGTACCCTTGGGGGTGGGCTGGGAGCTTGTACATGTCTAGAGACAGAAGGTCGCACAGGCTGAAGTACTGCTCTAGCACAAACCAGCGACAGGAAGTGGCAGGAGCTGAAACGTGCTGGGGCAGCAAGCTGAGGTTCCAGGGGCGTCACGGTGGAGGTGAGGGAAGGGAGGAGACGCCACAAGAAAAGAAGTGCGTGTCCAGGCTTGGGGAAAGCACAGCCAGGTGGGGCTGGGCTGGTTAGAGAGAGGGCCAAGACATTCCTCTCTGAGGGCAAAATGCCAGAACCCCTGGGGAGCTGTCACCTGCACGGCTAAAGTGTCCAGGCTGTGGGTGTAGCATCAGGACCTGTTTTGGGGACATGCCCACACTGCACCAAGGCTTTGCAAAGACCCAGGCCTTATTTCCAGAATGCTCCATACATTCCCCTAGAACCTGAGGCCTCTGCGTGCTTTCCCTGGAGGGCCAGCGGTTGCATACATGTGGCCATGGCCTTACCTTCTGCACTCCTGACCCCTGTTGGATGCGGGAGAAGGCAGACCCCAGTGGAGCCATCTGCAGGAGGGGGTTTCCTTTCCCTTCAGAAGCCCTCCCCCCATTTCATTTTAGTTACATGTAAACAGCCCAAATGGGGGAGTTACTTGTATCCAGGTAATTGGCAATCACTAATTGATCCTCTCTGGATGTGAGGCCCCTGGGAGCTCTGCAGCAGCAGGCAGGTGGTGACCTCCCAAAGGCCCGCAAGCCAAGGGTGGTGGGGTTCAGCAGCTTCCCCGCCAAGATGGCTCAGGGGGGCTGCATGTGGATACCGGGCACCACGGTAAACAAATAAAGTCCCTACTTCCTGGAGAAGCTGTAAAGTAGGCTGTCAGCTGACAAGGCGCTACATACATACCTCACTTCATCAAACAAGCTGTTCATTTCGCCAATTAGCCGCTGATTTTCTTGTTCAAACTGTGAGGATGAGGAGACAAACACATTCAAGATGACATCACATTGAACTTAGGCAAGAGTTTGGCAAGAAAACTTTGATCTACCCTCCAGGAATCACTGCTGGGCCCTGGTTTCCAACACGGAGCGACACAGCATTGCTGGAAGACTGTGAGCATCAGTGTGGAAAATATCCCTGCTTTAGGAAGAATAAAAGCAAAGAACAGCTGTGCTGCCTACGGCGTGACTTTCCCATCTCACTCGTCTGCACTCAAAGTACACAGCTGGCTTCGACGACTGTGGTTGTGACGCAGCGGAACTCGCGTCTTGGCCCCAGGTATCTACCCATGCTCTGTACCCTGGGCTCTCACGGCCTGCCTCTGCCTCCTCCACTATTTTTAATGGGAGAAGGATGTGGTGTGGGGAGTCTGGAGAGGAAGGGGGACGTCGATGGCTTTGCCGCGCTGGCCCTGGGACCCTCGGACTTCCCAGCCACGCTCTCGGCCGTGCCGCTGCTCCACAGAGACAGAGGCTCCGGAGCCAGGAGAGTCCCTCTCCCAGTGCCCAGGCTGAGTGAGGATGGCCCCCTACCACCAGGGACACCCAAGGAGCTCCTCATAGCTGAGTGAACTCAGCAGAGCTGAGAGCTGTTCTCCCAGCCATTCTTGCCAACTTGGTATCAGGTGCAGACAGGATGTGCACCTCTGAAGCACCATGGAGCGCAGCCGGGAGAATCTCGTCGCCCCTGCTGCAAGCCCGACAACTCTGTCCCAGTGTGTCCACTCAACTCCCTGAGTGCACAGGCGGTCGGGGTGTCCCCCTTCTCTTCTCCTGCATGTCTCACAGGCCTAGTCTCTCCATGAGACTGACCCTGACCCCTGAGCTCCAAGTTATTTCTCATTTTCCTACCCTTGACCTTGCATTTTCTAAAAATGTCCTAGGAGAGTCATCATCTTCTGCCTTGTAATAAATTGTGCATGGCCCAAACTCCCTGTGTGACTCTGAGCTTCTTAAGGGTGGGAACTGTGTGGAGCCCAACTTGGAAAACACATTCTATTTTTTCTTTCATTCACATCTATTATAGCTGCCATCAAGTCCACGAATATTCTGAGGCACTCGGTGCCAGAAACTGTGGGGGCGCAGGGCAAATATTGTACGAGCAAGCCCTTGCCTTCCAGGGGCTTCGCAATTGACTGAAGATCTGGTTTATCACACACTTAGGAAATCAAGAATAAAGGGAAAATAGTTATGGGAATCACAATGACACCACGGGCTCTGCCAGCACTTCCTGTGCACAGAATCCTGCAGCGCCCCACCTGCTCCCATTGCTCCCCCGGGCAGGGCCTGCCCAGTCGTCTTGCCGCTGCAGGCGCTGTGCCCTCGGAGCGCCTGCCTGGGCACCACGCTGGCGCCCTTCACATACGCCTCCCTGCAGCTGCCAGTTTCACCCACCATTTGCTGTGCTCGGTGCTTCCCCACCGTCCACATTCCGCCCTCATCTCCCACTGCCTCCAACCCGCCCTTGCTCCTCGGTCAGAAGGATCTCAAGAGCCAGTCCCGTGAGACTGCTCCACGATGGCCTGCCCCAGCACAGCCCTCCAGGTTGGGTGTGTGGATCTGGCCACATCGCACCTCCCACCTCGCTCCTCCTGCACAGGCTGGTGCTCTGCCTGGCTGGGGGACTCCGACCTGTCCCGCAGAACACATCATAGGCACTTTCTTAGTGATGTGACACCTCAGGGCGACTGGATCACTTTCTCTTATTTCCTCGCCCTTGTTGAAAAGTTCCCCTGCATTCAAGCCCATCTCAGCATTTCTCACACTTGCCAGGGGCCCGTCTCTCTCCTCTGGACCCTGAGCCCGGCACAGGGCCTCACTCTCTAGGGCACCAGCTCGCAGCACAGACGCTGGTCCCAGACCCCAACCACGGCAGGCCGCCTTGCTGGCTGCTGACACAGTACTGCTTATGGCCCTTTAAATTCAGCATCGACAAGGGTATTTAAGAGAATGGAATTTCACTTTTGAGTTTGAAAATATCAGCTCTGTTAGATGTCAACTCAACAGTAAGAGTCCAGTACTTAAGGAAAACACGTAATTACTTCAACATGTAGGTGCTAATTCACTCTAATTCAGGTACTACTTGGGGTGGTGTTTTGGGAGAGGGCGGAGCATTTTTTTTCCTGCTATATCTTCTTCCTTCAGAAGGAGGAGGATTTTCTTTGAATTTTTCTAATGACAAGATATGGCCCTGCCCTTTTAAATCCACAGTCCTTTTGTGCTTTGAAACTGTTCTTAAATAAAATCAACTGGTGACTTGAGGTGCTTTTTACTAGAATGTTCCTTAGGAACAAAGGTATTTTTGTTTGCTCAGTTTGCGGGCAGGTGTACAGTGCTGCGCGTCCTTGCGGGCCTCTCTGCAGTCGCTACTGACAGCCCCATGCCAGCCCTCCCACAGTCTGGAGTGGGATCAAACTCTGGCTTTGAATTCCTTCTACCCCGTGGGTTCTTGATGCCACCTGACAAATACCCCGTCCCTAGAGGAAGAGCAAGAAACAGGTGCCTCACGGCATTAAATGTGAGAAGGGCTGAAGAGAGGTCTGCCCGTGGCTAGGGAGCTTTAATGGAGTTTGAAACGAAAGGCCTGTCTCCTAGACAAGTGTGAAATCACTGATACCCAAAGAGGCCTGGCAGGGCCCAGGCTGATCAGGTAACAGAGAGGTTGCTGACAACACTGACTAGCACCAGGTTTCAGGATGGCTTCCAATGTTGTCTAAATGACAAACCTGCGTGCCTCTCCTCTCGTCTGTTGCCAGGAGGCAGGGCTAGGTGGTGGATGTGCCAGGTAGAGACGGGAGCCAGTTCTTGGGGCCTCATGGGAACCCTGGGGCGACCCTGGGCCAGTCACTGGCTTCTAGAGGGCCTGTCAATTTCTTATGGACAGATGTGGTGATTCTTATCCTTCCTGCCTGATCCTGAGGGTGCAGAGCCAGGGCTGGGCTTCCAGCTCCTTCACCTTCTAAGCAGTATAACGTTGGGCATTTAACTTAATCTGTCTTTGTCTTTGTCACTAAAATGGGGATAAAAGTACTTAAGTAGTAGGGTTGGTAGAAGGAACACATGAGTTAAAACATGTAAGTTGTTTACCAAAGTGCACAGCACACAGTAAGCTCCCAATAAATGCCAATTATTGTGATTTAATGTCTCTGGGAAATTCTGGATATGCAAAACGAGTGGCTAGATGCTTTGAAGGCCCCTTCCACCTCCCAGGTCTCAAATTCCAGAAGACGGCTGTGGGTCTTGGCCATTTTACTCTCTCAGGCACAGGGAAATGCACATGCAGCATCTTCTTCCAGAGCTCGCTGAGCCGCAGCAGCTAGTGTCTGTGTCTGCACAGCCACGTCACCTCCCCACAGACAGGGACTTTGAAAGGTGCAGTGCTGAATGAAAGGCCCGGTCTCCACAGTCCGCACAACAGACGGGGGTATCTGTATGCCCTGTGAAGACAAACCTGAACCCAATCTGAGGAATACTTCCCCCATCCATGTGAGTGACTGCAAAGGAAGAGGACAGACCTAGACAACGGGTAAGGTGGGCAAGTGGGGCCCTCCAAGCATGACAGCAGCCAGCTTCTGTCTGGGCTCCCCGCCCCGGGCCATCTGCTCTATACTGTTTAGGTCTCTCACCAAAATACAGTGCTTTCTTTCAGCCAGACCAGCAACACTCCCCACCCACCATCCAGCTATAGGGGTACAGCATCATGTTAAAAAGTCTAAGACTTAGGACTTGGGAGCTATGTGACCCTGGGCTGGTAATTTAAGCTCTCTGTAAAATTGGGCCAGCAATAATCCCTCCCACATGCGGTTGCATAAATTATTCTACGCTGAAGTGCTCGGAGTGGTACTTGACACATGCGGTGTATTACATGCGTGTTAGGCAATATCAGTATTTAACTGCTTTATTCCATTTAGAAGTCAGTTAGACTTTCCAATAAAGCCCTGTTAAAGGGTTTCTCATCCGGTTTAAAGGATACAAATCCCCATTGTGAATATACTGTTACGGAAATCCTTACTAATCTAATCCTTTTGCTATAGTTTTTAAAAGCAAATCACTCTACAAAGGCCTTTGGGTATAAAATAAGGCCAGGAGAAGCATCTGCATCGCAAAGAGCCAAGCACAGCCGACTGGAGCCCACAGTGGGATCGTCCTAGAAAGCAGTCTGGCCCCCGAGATTCTGGGGCCCACTGCCCGGGCCCTTTCTGGGTTCTTCCAGACGTGCTTTCTCTGTGCCAAATCCCTTTACACTCCTGTGTTGTGACCCTCACCTCGATCCCCACCTGTGCCCCTGTGAACCTGGAGCTTGCCCAGGGTCTGTGCGCAGCTCTTGCTGCGTGGCACTCAGATTCTACCAGTAACTCCTGTGTTCTCGATGTGTGAGCTGTGCTTGGCCACAGACTGCAAGCCCTGCCAGCCTGCCAGCCAGCCAGCCACCAGGGCCTTCCATGGGCCTATTTCAGGGGATGGGGCCAGGGACATCTTTCATACGGATTTAAGAAACAGAAGTCACATTCACGTCTTTAAAAATTATCCCAAACAATACATCAATATATGTAGGTGGCTTTACATGAGGCAAATAAAAGGAACTTTTCTGCTTAGAAAAGAAGGAATTTTCTCAATGTAACATCAGAAAACAATTTGGTTCTACTCAGCCCGACCACAAAACATCTGCTAACTCAAAGGCATTAATATACCTGTATCATAAGTTATAAATGGAAATTTATTGTGCAAATCATACAATACCCTGAAACAATTTTGGAGTATGTAACAACTGTTCCTTTGGGTGAAATAATGACTTAAATTGCCATTATGGGGCTTAATTCATTATTTTACCCTGAGGAAAAATTCCAAAACAGTGATTATGAATTATGACCACAATTTGCTACAGTACTTTCCAATTTAAAACCAATAGTGTGGTATTTCTTTCTCTTTGTTCAGGGTTAAGCCTTTTAAATAAGATTTGGGTTAGT